GACAGGGAAGAAAGAGTGTCCTGGTGTGTATCCACATTGAACAGTTAAAGCACTTTGATACCACTTTAACTCTCATGTCTCCATCCTATGGAATCCTGGGATAAATACTTTGATGAGGTGCCTAGGACAGTAATCCAGGTAGTAGCTGTGTTGGCCATACAGCAAATCCAATAACATCAAAAATTCAGCAAACCGTGGTACCTTTATCGGACTAGAGTAGAGCTCACTAGCATAGAGTTCAAAGTACCAATTCAAACTAAAAATCCCAAAATGCTGTAGCATGGTGACATGGCAGTTACAGTAGTATCGAGCCACTGTAATTGTGCAATGTGGATAAAGCCATAGAAAGAGTCATTTCTGGCTGGCTAGACTCCTGAAAAGAACTCTGTGAACTGCAATATTGGTTTCGAAACCCACTCACAGGGAATATAAAAGTGGAAGCAGCTGATAGGAAGCAACACAAAATTGTCTGAAAGAGGAAGTGGTAGGTTTTGTTTTGTTTTTTTAAGTCACTTGCCAATGGAGCTCCCTTTGCCCTTGAAAGGGTACTTCTTCCTTTTGTGATCAGGATCTGGCAAGCCAAGGCCTCTTGATAAGCAGAGAAATGTGACTTCTGCTAGTGATGTTCACAAGGAAGCTGCTATTAAAATGAGGAACTAAAAACAAAACAGTTTTTACAATAAAAAGGATTAAAAGCCAGTTAACAACAAAACTACATGCACCACTGAAAGAACATAATTCATAAGACTTCCTACACTCAGTATGTATTCCAAGAGCTGGGAAGTAAGCACATGGCAAATACGGTATATAACATCGGGATTAACAACTGACTGTGGCTTCTTCTTCGGCTTTAAACAGTGGAAGAATACAATAAAAAGGTGAATACTAGGTTTTTCACATGAGGAAGAGTTATAAGCAAACAAAAATAAATGAATCAATATTATCACAAGTTCAGGTTTCTGTAAGGGGCACAGGACCAAATGCTGGTAAAGAAATTGCACAAAAAACACATCCATACCCAATATTGTTCCTCTATGGTCCAAAACACTGCAGAAAAAATCCAGTTTGAGACCACTTTTAACTTCCCTGGCTCAGTGCTAGGATATCCTGGGAATTGTAGTTTGTTGTGGTACCAGAACTCTCTGACAGAGAAGGCTAAATGTCTCACAAAA